GCGGGTCGCGTCGGTGAACAGCTCGTTTCTCGAATTCCTTGCGTTTACTTTGGTGCGATCGCGATCGTTGATAGATCGTAATTACGCACACCATCAACGTGGGTGTATTGGACAACGCCGCGTGACACCAGTTTCGTCTGTCCTTTCGTCTTTTTCAACGAATCAACGACGGTCATTCGCGAAGAGACGTGGAAAATGCGATCGCGCGTGAGCCAAGTGTCGCGAAGCGCGATACAAAAGAGGTTTCGGGTTCGACGAGAGGTGTGACTCGGTTGTTCCTGTATCGATCCGATCGATCCGGTGATTTCGGAGTGCAGCTCCCAATCGGCCACGCGTCCGAGCGAGAACCTGTTCGCACGGAAGATCGAGGTCTGGCACTCGGGCCCACAATATTTGACACACGGCAGCCAATCAGATTATCAGATTAAAGTCGGACGAGCCGACGCAGCGGCGATCGTCGACACAGGTGCGATTCATTTTGTAAGAGAGAGCTCGACCGCGTTTCCTTCAATGTTCTCGCGGCTGATTCTCATTGTCCTTTTGCGGCACCTGTTTCGACACAGAGCACGTTTTTCCGAACGATACTCGGCAGTTCGTTTCTTTCTTTTCGCCATACTCGCTCTCTATCGATGCATTTGCACAATTATAGCACGGTGACTGTTTGAATATTTTAACGTCGAATTCATTAATTTCGTATTTATTATGGAACATCGAATCGCGTTATCAGATCGCTGGCGAAAGGCAGCCTCGGAAGACGTTATTGCCACTTTACGAGCACCTGTTCTGATAAGGACGGTGGTTTCTTTCTGGAAATACGAAAAATAGTGCGGTCATTATAGGGGCGCATGATCGTCGATGAAGCAGAGGCCGTTAAAAGCAACGTAGACGAACTCCTTATTGGGCAGGGTTCGGCCACGGACGGACCGACAACCGTGTACGATCCTTCCATAAAACCAGGCGACAAAGTGAGGAACGCGCTTCATTTTACGGCCGAGTTTATGGTACGTGGCAAAGAATCATCGGCCCGTGATCGCGTCGACTAGAGACGGACCGGTCTTATCTTATCCGCGGAACGAGAGGCCGCTCCCAACTTTTCTCGGCTTTTCGATCGCTTTTGTATAGGAGTGTAGTTCGGTGATCTTGGCGACCAAGGTTGGATTACGCAGAAACTGCCTTAAAATTCAGCGCGTTTCGGGAGACGGTCGATTCTTAGGGACCGTGATTCCTTTTAAAATACGGGTCGATCGTTGATATTGCGAATTGCTTTGAGACGAAGTTGCATAATCCATCTGGTAAGGTACTTTGCACGCGGAGAAGGTTCATTTAATCCGTTGATCGAAAGTACTGGTGACGAAATCGAATTACTCGAGGATTTCATCGTGGCGTAATCTCTTGTATTTTTTGATCGAGTCATTCGTGGTTTTCGTACCTTGAAATTCTTGTCAGGAGAATGCATATCGACTGGCGGTCGGGCGTTGGAGGCGGAACGGAGAGAATCGGTTCGTGCGAGACGACGGAGCAGGACACGAAAAAGACCAAAACAGTGAAGAAAGGAAGGAGGAGAAGACAGAGAAACGGCAAGAGAAGGTCTTCATTGTCGTCGCTATCGTCGTTGTCGTCGTCGTCGTCGTCGTTGTCGTCGTTGTCGTCGTTGTCGTCGTTGTCGTCGTTGTCGTCGTTGTCGTCGTTGTCGTCGTTGTCGTCGTTGTCGTCGTTGTCGTCGTTGTCGTCGTTGTCGTCGTTGTCGTCGTTGTCGTCGTTGTCGTCGTTGTCGTCGTTGTCGTCGTTGTCGTCGTTGTCGTCGTTGTCGTCGTTGTCGTCGTTGTCGTCGTTGTCGTCGTTGTCGTCGTTGTCGTCGTTGTCGTCGTTGTCGTCGTTGTCGTCGTTGTCGTCGTTGTCGTCGTTGTCGTCGTTGTCGTCGTTGTCGTCGTTGTCGTCGTTGTCGTCGTTGTCGTCGTTGTCGTCGTTGTCGTCGTTGTCGTCGTTGTCGTCGTTGTCGTCGTTGTCGTCGTTGTCGTCGTTGTCGTCGTTGTCGTCGTTGTCGTCGTTGTCGTCGTTGTCGTCGTTGCCGTCGTTGCCGTCGTTGTCGAGGTCGCATAAATCGTCGCGAATCGGATATCGAGGAACCGAATGCAAGTCGCTATTGTCCAGGCTCCCCTTTTTCTCTCTCTTTCTTGTTCTTTCCCTCAGAGTTGCTGTTACGGAACTGCACTCTTTGCTTTGCATACGGTTTAAATATCATCGCTCTGCTTACTTTAAGGACTCCTAGTACCATATCTTCCCCTTTTTTGTGCTTCTTTTCGATGGTACTGGGCGAAACCGGGATTCGCAAGACATGAAACGTCGAAAGGAACCCAAAGACGTGTTCTGTCTCGTACTTTCGTTCCTTTTCTATCGCTGAATCGCATCGATTCTCTGCGATCGGTATGAGCTGTATATTCATAGTGCCGCATCACCGACGCATTTTTACGTTTCTTTCGAGAAGTAGATCGTCTCGCAGATTCGGTCCGATCCATCTCGAGTTCTCCGATTGGCGAAACACGGACGACGTAAATTGTTACGATATCGTCGAGATTCGAATATCTAGTTCTGGATCGTGGTAACGTTATTTCGAGTTCCGAGATAATCGAAGAGGAGTAGATCGAATAAAATTCGGTGCAGTCGTTTTTGTCCAAGTCTCTTGACCTCGGAAAAGCGGTTTCAAGTTTTCGAAAATGACGACACGGTCTCGGCTCTAATCTTATCCAACCGGCACATCGTCAGTCTTTAACGAATTTAACGACGACACTATATAAAAATCAACAGGCACTGACGTCGTTTAAAGGTGTCCATAAAGATACACAGAGATATAATTCGAGGACTGATCCGGCTGTTACGACCAAAGTTTCATAAAAGATCGTTCGCTTTTCGAGAAATTTCGCCGATAATCGAACTGAGAGGAGGAAATTTGTAGCGAACGCCTGACCGAAACCAAAGGAAAAAGTATCGGTGAAGGCACGAGACCCGCCGTAGATAAAGGATCTGTCGACGTTCGAAACGAGGAGGTCGCAAAAAGTAGGATTCCTCGTTCCTCGGAGATGAAGTATTCCGCATGGCGAAGCGGCCGATACGTTGTCTCTCTTTTCTCCGCGTCTTCTTTCGTCGGACCTTTCGTTCCTTTTTCTCTCGGATCTTTGGATCTTCCCTTCCTCCGTACCGCGCATCGTGCTTTCGCCGGACTTGCAAATTTCGCGCAGGCATCGTCTTTTCTCCGGGGTGCAGCGGTACGTTGCGACTTTGCATCCCGAGAAGAGAGTTACCGTCCGACCCAACCTAAACCGAGCTACGAGATCCGCATGGAAAGATAGCGGAGTCTCTGCCACGGTAGGACGAATGTTCGTAGTCTGATTTGCGTAATTCCGTTCCTGGAATTTCATTTTCTTCCCGCCTTTGGTTTCCTAGTTCTGTTATTCAGAAAGAAAAGCTGGATAACAGAATCATCCAAG